TTACATTAGTCTAATCGATAATAACAATAATTACTATTAAAGAAAAATACAGAGAGACAGACAGACGAGAGTGGGAATTTACATACATTTTTGGACTTAGGAGAGCTTGAAACGTATTGAAATGTAGAAATAAATTGAAGAATTTTTCTGTATGTTAGTGTTTGTATGTAGGGGCACGATTTTATTCACTCTGTTCGGAACTTAATAATTCTTGTGCTTTTTGACGAAAACTTTTGAAATTTTGCTGAGAGGTTGGTTTATTAGGGGGATTGATGCTGTTAAATTTTGGTAAAAAAAGGTCGAGGGGTTGGGGAGATAATGGGGGTCGTGTGTATTTTCAGTAGGATCGGACTTAATTCATTATTAGCATTTACATTTTTTATATAAAATCCATACCTACCCTCAAAATAAAGTTTTTTGCGATTTTATAATAGTTACAAATGTAAAATTAAAAAAAATTAAAATATGATATAAGATTGCACCACAAAAATCTTAAATGTTGCCGGATAAGTTGAGCAACACGTTTCTGGTTTCTCTAAACGGTGACAGAGTTTGATGCAAGTCAGTGAAAAAATTTAGCAACTTGTAGGGAATCAAAGCAGAAAGAAGGAGTGGGGGGTCGAGTTTTAAAATAACGTATATTTCTTAAGGATTGTGGAGAATAACTATTTGGAATATGTGCAGTTCGCTCAGAAAGGTTGAGAGCTTCGGGAGTAGGAGATAAAATCAAAGAGAAGAAATAAAAGGTTTGAGTGTTTTTCATACTGTATCAGAGATTAACTATGCGGAATTTGCTCTCCAGATCGGTCAAAGGGTTCGAAAGTTTGTAGTAATCATGAAATAAGTATGTGAGATAGCAGAAATTCCTATATTAAAAATAGTCTTTAATATTAACATTTCGCGAATTACGCAACAATTGTTGTTCTTAGCTACCTGAGAAAGTGTCCCGTTACATTTTCTCGAAAGCAACATGACGCTTTCTCGTAAACTATTAACCTCTGCACGGCCGAAATCGTCTGTGAATATCATCAGAGACGGCCGAAAAAAGTTAGTAGCCGTTTTAGTCCTCGGAGAGGAAAGAAGTCGTCGTCCATCTAATCATCGTTCATTTAATCGTTACCCAATTAATTGTCGCTCATAGGATAACCTTTTGTGTGTGTGTGTTTGTGCACGATCGCCTGGATAACGAAAATTACCCATCAGAACTGGATACCTCCTGAAAAAAACCCATAAGAAGATCTTGTTCTCCGATTCAACATTTGGGATAAGTTATCTATTACCAAAGGTATTTATCACCCCGCGAATCGTATGTGAACTCTCTCTCTCCGCCACAACACTTTATCCAATAGATTGTTAAATAAACCCTTGTTAATTGTTAAGTGTATCTGAGTCACTTCCAATGTTGTCTCTCGAACCGACATTACGAATCCGTCTGACCACGTACGGGACCGCTCGCGCGACGGTGTGACGTAATCGCCCTCTCGGTTTCCGTGTTCCGATAAACACAGTGGTGTCAATCCTGACAGGGTACCAAAGAGGTGTCGACCCGAAAAAACACAAGTAAAACGGAATGAGAGGTCCGAGTTTTAAGGTAACTTATGTTAGTGGCACGTTAACTTACGGGAAAAAAGGGCAAATATCTGGGACTCCCAATACAAGGTTAAAACCGATTTTTTATAAACTCATTACAATGTAGTAAGAATTTAAGGAAAGTTAATTCGCTCTTTATTGTTGCAAGTTTCCGATAACACAAAAGTATTATTATAAGAAATGAATGACAAAGACAATATAAACAAAGCATTAGCATAAAGTCTCACGAATAGATAAGACAATAAGTTTAAAAAAAGCCTTCTAGGTGACAAATGTGTTAGAACTTTAACATAGCATATAAAGGACGATTCTCGTGCATTTTCCTTTATCACCATAAACATAATATATATCCTATGTTCAATAGGACAGAGAAAGCTTTCCAATAGCAGAAGAATTTTAAAAATGAGTTCGGTAGATTTCGAGATTATCTCTAACAAACAAACAAACATCTTCGCTTCAACTATTATTATAGATATAAATAGAGATTACCGAATTTTTAAACTATTTCCCATATAAATTTACAAATCTTTAATTAATACATTAATGCGAACAGAAAATTACCTGAATTTAATTCATCGAATTCTGTAGCCACTTTTGTAGGCGTACACAAGAATAGAGGTAAAATACAGGTAAGAATTATGCTGGAAATAGAAATGAAACATATTTTACTAGACCTTGCTGCAATTTACCAGCAGAAAATGGCCGAAATCTTCATCTTGAATCGATGTACTTTGTATCGTGTTATCGGATCCGACTAACTTCTGCTTCATATACTTTACGTCAGTTGCTATTAGATGTAGTATTTTTGAAAATAAGAAAGAAAACATCATAAATGTATCGAACAGTAAATAAATAACATTATTTTGAAATTCATGCATATACAGCAAATGAATTGCATAATGGTTTGGCAATTTTTAAAGCAATTTTTTATAAGTTATACGTGTGAAAGTATAATAGAAAACAGTTTTCATCATTTCAAATTAAAATGTACAGCATCTAATTCTGGAAAAGTAAAAAATATCTATATTACTATGAAGCTTTATTGGCCAAAATTCAAAATTGCAATTGAAAATTGGCATATACTCTGCACCATGAAATAACCTGCATGTTCTCTCGACTTGCCATATAAGTACGAATAACTTTCATATAATTTAATGAGTGGTATGGTACACTTAACGATGTTGTGTAGGATATGATTGTCTCAAAATAATATAAGCATGTGCAGAATGAGTAATGTGGCTCAGCTCTTGAAAAATATGGGGACCATTGCGTAGGATATTAGCATGTACTAGATATGAAATAAGCACATGCCATTTGCAGAAAAAATAGAGGGAATTTTTTTCCAATATCTACAAGTAAAACAAAATTAACTTTTGTTTTATCTTGTAAAACAAATTTAATTATCTCTATATATATATATTTCCCTGTATCCATCTTTTCGGCATTATCATGGTTAATGGAAAATGGAAGCTGTGAGAAACAAACAAAAGAAAAAGGGAAACAACTCAAGGATGATCTCATCAGCAGCTAGTATAGGTCAACTTTCTGACCTAAGGGTGCGACTATGCAGACGCGAGCGAGCGAATTTTCCGAGCGAGCGAGAATATGTGGCGAGAAGAGGCGAGACGCGATAAATATCAAAACCTGTCAGATATGTGAGAGAATCAGAAATTCGCTCTCGCCAGAGTTATTTCTCGCTTCTCGTTTGTGCATGGTTTTCCTTTGCGAAAATTAAATCGCTCGCAACCTCTCGCTCGCTCTAAATTCGCGTCTGCATAGTCGCACCCTAAGAGAGTTTCGACTTACGCTTTATCAGCGTCAGAAGTGACACCTTTCCCACAATTTAGCGACACCTCCAAGGTATTTTGATTATTTAACATAACATGAAACGCCCGCTCTTCATTTCTTTAAAATCTGTACCTGTGTGCTATTACAATCAGCAGTTTCGTTTGTGCCTTTAGATTTCTCGTCGTCTTTAGCATGTGTGCCGCCACTCTCCAAAACTGATAATTGACGCAAGAACTTATCTCCCTTTCTTTTCTACGTGGAGTTTCTAATTTAAGCTCATAAAATACCGTAATTTGTGAACTCTCTTTCTCTCCACAATGAGAATGCAAAGATACTCCGTCTTCTTTAGTTGTGTAATGTATCGTACAAATTTCATGCTGTCTAATAAATGTATAAGTGTAGTAAATTGCGTCGAGTGACTCCATTTCAACTAAATCGCGCTATTTCCTATTCCATTCTTTTATCCTTAGTTTCATATACGAGACCGCGTTATTGCCATCCGGAAAAACGCTCAAACCTAGTATTATAGGCGTAACCTACTTGGAGTCAGAAATTTCCGCGTGTAATCAGCTATAGTCGGTAATAGGAAAGCTAAAAAGCTGTATAAAACTCCATTGGGATATCCTCATACCGGTCCAAGAGAAAAACGTCAAACGGAAATGTTACATTGGCATCAGAATAAAACACAAACCCACGGGTGTCTGGACATCACCCGGCATTTTTCACCAACCCATCAAAGCATTTGCCAGCCTCACAATAAGAGGGCAGTTTGAAGCGTAATAGAGTTCGAATGGACACCAAGCAGATGTATCTTAACAACTCGGTGGTTTGGTCTATATTACACAGGATACATTGTAACATGTTTTATAATTCCTGCAACAATTTTTGGTAGGTTATAGGCGTAAAAATACAATAGAAAGCAATTTTCACGAATTCAAATTTACATCTAATTACCTTAAACTTACATATGTTTAGTGTCTATACATTCATCATGTTATAAAATATATCTAAACTAAAACATATACTATTACTTCGAAATGTAAAATTACTGTTATGAAAATTCTTATTTTATAAAAACATATTCAAATTTTACGGAATAAATTAATTATTGTCAACAATTAAGATGATAAATCAAACGATATTATTCTATTTCGATGCTTATTATGATTTGCAATTTTGCAAACATTAACAAATAAATTATTACAAATCATATAATTTCGGTTAATTTACAAAGTAATTGTTTATTAAATACAAGAAAGGTCATTTTTAACATTAAAATTTACATTTTTATCTCTATTATTTTGCCCATATCTGAGAAATTAACGAAAAACTCATTCCATTGCTATCTTAGTGGCCACAGAGCTAAAGATTTTAAACCCAAATGATATAAATGCTTAATTTCAGAAATAATTGCATTATTGCCACTCTGTTGTATCGAATTTTGATTGCTGAACAACAATTTGTACATAGAAAGTGACATTATTTTTATGTTTTAAGCAGACGTTGAAAAGAAACCTCTATAATACCATTACAATAAAAGTGTTAAATTGCTGAAGAAGCATGAATTTCAGAATTGCTATTTTAACTTTTGATAATTTAATATGACATTTCCATTCTTAATTTAGATATTATGACATAAAACACAATTATCGTAAGGTATATAAAGAATAAATTAATTACACCCCATAATAGGATACAAAGTACATCGATCCAGGATGAAGATTTCTACCATTTTCTGCTGGTAAGATTCACCGAAATCTAGTAAATAGTAAATTTATAAAAATATAATTAAATTTTACAAATATCTTTATATTTTTTTAACATACATATATACACGACTATTAGAAGACTCTATAATCTATAATATAATCGAGACGGGTTGATGATAATAATAATAAGTGCAGAGCCCAAACGGTTAGGAGTTGGAAGCTGAAATTTGGTACACAGTTAGGGTACGTCACGAAAACGCACACTAAGAAGGGACTTTTCGAAATTCCTCACGGGGGGAGAAAGACAGGATTAAGGCTTAACACTTCCATCAACAATGGAAGTGTTAAGCCTTACCATTGTTGATGGAAGTGTTAAGTAACAATGGCGGTGTTAGGTAACAATGGAAGTGCTAAGTAACAATGGAAGTGTTAAGTAACAATGGAAGTTTTAAGTAACAATGGAAGTGTCAACAATGGAAATCTTACGTAACAATGGAATTGTTAAGAGAAAGCGACGTGCAATACGCAGATGCAGTTTTTTCGTTTTTGCGGGAAATCGAACATATTTTAGACCCATCTAAAAATACTCTAAGGGGACCCAATTCTTGCATTTTGAGAAAACGGGTAAGGTTGACTGTAACGTAATAATATTTATCTTAGTTATCGTTACTTTTGCCCGAGCAACGCCGGGCCCACCTACTAGTTAATATATAAGGCATCATACTAGTAGAAGTATAGATATAAAACTTACTTTTAATGTTTTTTAAGCTTAAAATTTTTACAATAAGATTAGTCTTATTATTCAAATAAATTGCACGTGTTTGCTCTCCTTCACGCTTAACACAATCGCATTTGTTTTACTAAAATTCACGTGCAATTTAATAAAGTATTAAATATTTTTTATGACCCTTAAATTATGTCTTGTTTCTACTTTCAGCATAATTCTTATTTTACCTCTGTGCTTCTCTACGCCGGTAGAAAAGGCAACAGAATTGGATGAAGTAAATTCAGGTAATTCTCTTTTCATTATTAATGTTTGGGTGACTGAGCCTATAACAGATTTCGAGACACTGTGGGTCGAATTATAGTAAGAGACAATATGAAAATACAAAATGAAAGACAGCTTTCACATGGCGATGTCACGATTATAAAGTATACATTCCCGGCTATTATTGCCTACATAACAGAGGGAAGGTATAACGTTTGGTCAAAAAGATGACCCCCGAATATTTTAAAATTTTTGAACACGGGGAACCCTGAAATGTCGAGAAATACAAAAAATTAAGGGTTTTTTTAAATATATGTATGGATCTGAATCTTTCAAGAATAGAGGAACTGTACTTTATATTTCTTCCAGGGCTGTGGAGTCGCGTAAAAATCTACTGACTCCAACTCTGACTCCGACTCTGACTTTTCCTTACCATCCGACTCCGACTCCGTTTCATATACATAACAAGTTGGTAAGTAAAAAGGGAGTCAGAGTCGTCAAAAAATCCTCCGACTCCGACTCCGGCCAAAACACCAAAACTCCACGACTCTGACTCCGACTCTACAGCCCTGATTTCTTCTATTTTCAGTATTAACATGGGTATATCAATGAAGTAATTTGTAGAGCTATAATCTGTACACATATATCTATTAACATTATACAATTATTAACATTTGCATTGTTTTATTTCTGTGTTTTTTTAAATTAATTTTTCTATTCTCAGTTAATGAAGTAAGAAGAATACAAAAGAGATGTTTATATATAGGATGCAGATATTGGTATTGTGGATGCCATGACCCGGTGAAGGAATAATGTATATGCAATTAAGCACGGATATAAATATAATAAAACTTGATTTTATACTGTTTATTCTACATTAAATTATCTCTGTTTATACACAATTTACATAAACAAGAACAAATGCATCATTTTCTGTATGTGAGGGGCACGATTTGATTCACCCAAATTAAAGCTTAAGCAAATCATTGCTTGATTATTCATTTAAAATATTTAAAAATTGTTAACCAAAATTGCGATTAATATGAATATATTTTAACTCTCAAACTTTATTTTATAACGAATATTAGTATTGTAATTATTGTAAAAATTGTTCACGATGACATTAAAAATTGTAATTTATATAACATTTTAAAAAATGTATATTGTTCATACGGCTTGTATATTATTCAGAAAAGGTTACATTATTGATTTTAGGAATTTTATCATAAATAATGGAAGAAAATGGAAATTTTTATAGGGACGAAAGCTCTGTAATCTACGTCACTCATGAGAATTAAAATTACAAATTTCACTCTTAAAATGAAAATTTAATGGCGTTTTCTGCTTATATAATCTATATAATGATATACAATTGTTATTTATTGTTGTAGCCATAATGTTATTACTGTGTTATTTATTACTCAACAATAGCGCTGATTATCATTTGTGCTGTTGTTGTATTGTGCATAACACAATTATAGAACCTCATTATGTAGACAATATACATTAATTACAGCAATACTTTATCATTATAGTGATTTTATACCGTAGTGTTTTTAATTTTTGTCTGAATTTTTGCGTGGTCGTTGGTCAGAAACCTGTGTCCTGTTGTGGTCTCGTGTGAGGTATGATAATGGTATTGAAATTTACACAAATATCTGGTTCAGTGACTTTTAGGGTGCCACAAAATTCGAAAAATAACAAAAATTTTTAATGTTTCGCTTCATAAATTGTAACACATCAATAAGACAATGGTTCGTTAGCGTGGTAACAAAAATTGCAAGTAGGCCATTAAATCAAAAAGGGTTAAAAACCATTTATCTTTTGCATCTAAATTAAAAATTTATATATTTAATTATTGGTGGAATAAGAGAACATAACACTTGTGTGTCCCTCCCAAAAGAACTTTCTACTGGAAATTAAACATATTTAGGTGTTAGACATGTGAAGAAAACACAGAAAACTTCCATTAGTGAGGCCCGAACCCGCGACCATTACCATTATTTCGAAGTTAAGTGGTACTATCCAGTTATTGGATGCTATTAGATTATGATGTCGTAAAACTATGAAGATGATTCCAATCTTCTGTGCTTAAGGGCCCTAAAGGTTCTTAACCACCAATGAATGTAATCGTTTTTCTGTACCCATTGTATGTTCGTCCAAGCCAGATGGTGAAGGACAGAACCTGACATATCCAGGACAAACTATACACAAAAATTTCCTGAAATTCCTCTTCCGAATTTAATTCCAAGAGCGNTAGATTATGATGTCATAAAACTATGAAGATGATTCCAATCTTCTGTGCTTAAGGGCCCTAAAGGTTCTTAACCACCAATGAATGTAATCGTTTTTTTGTACCCATTGTATGTTCGTCCAAGCCAGATGGTGAAGGACAGAACCTGACATATCCAGGACAAACTATACACAAAAATTTCCTGAAATTCCTCTTCCGAATTTAATTCCAAGAGCGATAAATGTCTCTCTTATATCCAGAAGAGGAACCTTATGGGTTGTTTGTTCCAGATATGTCAGGTTCTGTCCTTCACTCCACTGCCTCAATGTTTGACTAGTGTAACCAACAAAAGGCCTGAGAAAAGATCCTCTTAGTACACACAGAGCGAAAAACTCCATAAAATATATTGTATAACGTTACGTATTTAACACGCAACAAACAAATCAATCTTTGTTTACATAACGGTAACAGAAGAATACTAAATAAGTGTTCCTCTTTATAAATATTTTAATACGTGTATACTAATAAAAAAAATACTGATACTAAAAAGTATTTTATTAAAGAATATTCCTGTAAAAATATTTTTAAATCAAGATTTTCAAAAGGAAACTATGTTTATTCACCCTTTTTCTTTCAAAAAGAATAATCAGCAGAACGATCAATTTCTACGTTACAGATGTATTTATGGATTATTCAGTTCTATTTTATGTACTGTTGCGTTTTTTTTTATAGTAATATTTTTGTTTAAACGACATTTTTATTATTATAAAAGGTTATTTTCCATATCATAACATAAAAAAGAAAACATGCATGAATAGCCACAAATCGTATCTTCTAACACTCCCATTGACGTTCTCCTTATAAATACTTTCTATTTAAATATAATTTTATAATATTTTATTCAAATCTGACAATGTCAATATTATTCTAGAATAAAATTTTCATTTGAAACTATGCAAATTTCACAATTCTCATTTAAAATTCTAAATATTAGCTCGTTTTTCTTTTATGACTCCAAAACTACGTTATTTGTTCAAAGATTTAATAACCTTTCAAGTATTTTGACGATTTAAAAATATTTATTTTAATAAATTTTCTTACATTTATAAAAATATTAACCATAAAATTTGTTTTATACTTAATATATTTGTGTATATTTATCAACTTTCATCCTCATCATTTCGCTCCAAGGAAATTTGCTTAAAATAATAATAATAATAAATTATTTTTGAATTTAATTTATTATATTTCTATAAAATTTAATAGACAAATATTTAAATATTTACGTTATATTATAAAAATTATAGATTAAGGATAACTGGTAACAACTTCCAACAACTGTTGGTGAAGTATGTTAATCTAAACCTTCTGTACGCTATAATTTTTTTAAAAAATATATAAATTTATTTAAAAATATACAATTTATGTTTAAATTTAATTAAAATATTATAAATTCTGTTTTTATTTTAAATAAAAAAAATACTACAAAGCTATAATTTGGGAGCCCATTGGTAGCAGAATAGATAAAACTACTAAACACTGATAGATGGTCGTGGGTTCGCACCTCTCCACGTGGAGTTTTGCTGTTTTTTTCACCTTATTAACACTTAAATAGGGGCTAATTGGATTCGAATATTCATTTTATACTTAAAGAATAATCGCATTCACTTAATTTCTCCTTAAATAACTTTCTAATTTCGAACACCATCATCATGCAGACACACATTTTTCGGTGTGTGAAAACTCTATAATATTACGAAATTTGAAAATATAAATAAAGATAAAAGATCCTAGGATGAAGAGGATTGATAGAAAAAGACAACAAAACACATGTGCAATCTGGGGAGGACTTTTAATGAGAAGCAGGTGTTAGATAAGTGAAAAACCCCAGAAAACTCCACGTGGCTAGGTCTGAACCCGAGAATTATCAGTATTTAGTGGATTTATCCACTCGGTTAGTGGTTTAGAACGTCCTGAGAAATAGTTAATAGACAAGTTGAAGTGATATCCTTTGTTCTATAGACAAGAATTTCTCATATCCTGTATCTTTCTTGTTTATCCAACTAAACTTTCAATTCTAAACTGTAATAGAACAAATAAAAGATAAGTTTTTGTTCTTTTCAACCAGCTTTTCCAAATGTCTTGTAAGTAATCGAAGATAAGACAAATGCCAATAATTTAAAGATCAAACATTAGCATAATCAAACTGTCTTCATTAGCTTAAAATAAAAATTACTTTTTACATAAAGATGATTTCTTAATAAAAAGAAACTTGGACTTTATAAATATTTAAAAATCAATTCACAAAGAATAATCATTCCTTAATTATCCCTACACAAAATAATTTAATAGAAAGAAATCATTGTTCTTTTACTAATAAAACTTTCATACTCTTTTCGTCTAGTATTTTTCTTTTGTTTAGAAAACACAGAAAACTTCCATTAGTGAGGCCCGAACCCGCGACCATTACCATTATTTCGAAGTTAAGTGGTACTATCCAGTTATTGGATGCTATTAGATTATGATGTCATAAAACTATGAAGATGATTCCAATCTTCTGTGCTTAAGGGCCCTAAAGGTNGTTTTCTCTTAACTACTCGAATTTTTCCTGGTATTGGTACTCTCAGCATTGCTGTCTTTAACAACAAATTTGGCTTGTGTTAATAAATTTATTCTTTTCGTCTAGTATTTTTCTTTTGTTTATTGTTTTAAACAGCGAATAAATATACTTTTTATTGTCTTAAATAAGTATTTTATGAAAATATATTAAGAAAATCGTATTTCTAATACGTTTAATTATGTTAATTAAGTGACCCAAATAAATATTACAAAATTGCGTACGTATGTAATGATTATTAAGTGATTTATTATGATTTAATATTAACAAACTTAATGTCGTTGTGTTCAAAAATCTATTATTGTAAACTAATTGCAAGGAATAATTATAATAAATATAGACAGTAGAATAGTTTTAATAACAACTGCTGATTGTATTGAAGACATTTATATAATGATGTAAATATAATGATAATGCATAAATAAATTATAAATTGTTTAATTACGGAGTGGATTGTATGGAAATTGGTTAAAAAATTATCCCCAAGAGACATTTTTGCACCTAGAAAACCTTGAAACATCCTGAAATGCAAAAAGATTGGGTTTTTATTTCCATGCACAGGATGGGGGCACGATTTTGTTTACCCAATTTGAAGCTTAATAACTCCTGTTCCTTTTGTCAAAAATTTCTAAAATTTTTCAGGAAGATTTGTGTATTAGAGGTATCGATTCCATTAAATTTTGGTGGTTATAGGTCAAGGGAGTGGGGAAATACACGATCATTTAGTATCTCTCGAATGGGATTGAAGTTAATGAAGACTTTACTCGTTTAGAATTTTTCATAAAACCCATCCCTACCGTGAAAATTAAGCTTTTTGCCATTATATAATAATTAAAAATATTTCAAAAAACTTTAAATAAAATATCCTAACAGATGGCGCCACCAACTGTCTAAATGTAGCCGGGAAAGTTAAGCAACTCGTTGTTCACGGTTCAGATTAAAATATACTACAATAGCATACAAATTTATCAACTGAGAATCCCGTAATTAGTAGCAA